GGTCGTAAGGACTCAAAGAACTACTGCGTGGTTGTAAGGACTCAAAGAACTACTGCCTGGTTGTAAGGACTCAAAGAACTGCTGCCTGGTCGTAAGGACTCAAAGAACTACTGCCAGGTGTAGCTAACAAAAATCTGAATACGTTATACTATTAAATGTTAATTAAAGTATGCACTCTGCGTAGATCCCGAGAGCTCACGTAGTTTCTGGGAAATCTGGTGAGATGCTGATAAGATAGCTCCGTGATTCAGAAGTTTCTAATTATAAGTTGTAGCAAGTTTAGTTTAAATTAATATAAATGGGGGAACGCTGAAGAGCCCCTACACTTGTCAGAACGTTCATGAGTGCTTAAATGTTTGTTACCATTGTCACAGGGATTTCTAATCCATCAACACTTGCAAATTAACACTCGTGATGTAGTACGTCCTTGTGCGATCGTAGTGACCTAATTCTTGACTGTATTGCCCTAATGCTTAACTGCATTGCCCTAATGCTTGACTACATTGCCCTAATGCTTGACTGTATTGTCCTAATAGTTGTCTGTATCGCCCTACTGCTTGACTGTATCCCCCTAAAGCTTGACTGTATCGCCCTACTGCTTGACTGTATCACCCTTATGCTTGACTGTATCGCCATAATGCTTGACTGTTTCACCCTACTGCTTGACTGTATCACCCTTATGCTTGACTGTATCGCCATAATGCTTGACTGTTTCACCCTACTGCTTGACTGTATCGCCATAATGCTTGACTGTTTCGCCCTAAGGCTTTATTGTAAGTAAATGCGTGTTACATTGACTACTGGGCGGGTCCAGTGGTCAACTTTTGTTCTAAATAAAGAAAAGCGGTGGTAAAGTTCAAGTGTCACCCCCGCCCCCCCCCCCTTTTTTTCTCTTCTATTTCTACACGAAAAATAGCAACTTACCACCTTAGTTCGTTTTTTGACACATGTCATTCCCTCTCTCACCCCTCTATTGTGTGATGTCATTTGTGTGCCAACTTCATCCCTGAATTTTGTATGTCATTTGTGTGCTAACTTCATCCTCTGAATTGATTGATGTCACTTGTGTGCCAACTGCATCGTCTGAATTGATTGATGTCACTTGTGTGCCAACTTCATCCTCTGAATTTATTGAGGTCACTTGTGTGCCAACTTCATCCTCTGAATTGATTGATGTCCTTTGTGTACCACAGAGAACATTTTTAAAGTAAAGTACTGACATAAAAACCGTGCCATCCTGGTCTTCCATACAATTCTTTTGAAAACAATCAGAAACCTTAAATGCATTTTAATTCAAGTGTTTAAATTAAAGTAAAGTATTTATTTTAATCTAAACTTAAATTTTAGTAAAAAATTTCTAACAAATCCCAAGCTGCCATCTAGTATCGTACTTGGTAACTTTGTGCTTCCCTATCTAGTTGTTTTAGGTACATTAGCCTTGCAGGGCAATTCATCTAAGAGATGGCAAAGTCTGAAATTTAACCCGGAGATGGAATCCCGTAGGCTGTAAGACATTGACAAAATTAAAATTCCCGCAACGTGGAACGCATAAGAGCACATTGAGACGCCAGAAACACTGCTGGTCATCTACTGCAACCTGATCTATTTCAAGTCGTCTTGACTAAGTCTTGCCGTTTGGAACAAATAGGCAAGGACGAGACAGTGAGGCTGAGGAATTGATCAACTCTCCCTCACTTTAAACACAATACAGCTCAAGCTAAGGCGACTACTTAAGTCGAAGCCTTGGTCATCTTCGAACGCAAAGGACGAACATCAACCATCAATGATCGTCTATCTTTTTGTCCCGAGGGTAGAGCAAAATATTCGTCCTGTTATAATTACTGGATATTCTTTTATTTTAAACGTCTCAACAGCAGCCACTAATGTTGAATAGTTAGATGGTGAACAGTTGGATAATAGAATATTTCAATGGTTTTGTGATGGGTTCTCTGAAAGCTTGGATGCTTGAATGGTTAGATGGTTAAACGGTAGGATAGTTGAACGGTTGGATCGATGAATGATTGGATGGTGGAATCTTTAAATGGTCGGATGGTTGAATGGCTAGATGGTTAAACATGTAGATAGTTGAATGGTTGGATAGTTGTATCTTTGAATGGTTTAGTGGTTAGATGATTGAATGATTGTTGGTGATTATTTATTGTAACTTGAATCCAAAATTAATCTGCGTGCACATCTGATCAGTTATTTGTTAAAATTAAATGAAATATATATTTTATATAAAAAACTCTCTCTCTCTCTCTCTCTCTCTCTCTCTCTCTCTCTCTCTCTCTCTCTCTCTCTCTCTCTCTCTCTCTCTCTCTCTCTCTCTCTCTCTCTCATTTGCGCGCTCACACACGCCCAAGTGTTTAGCTGTCGACATTAAAACGCATTTTTTGTGTTAAAAAATGTGGACCTACGACCGCGTTTTGCCCAGGTTTCTCCTGAAGAAGATCAAACTATTTGCCAGGGGATGCGTGACTACCCAGGACTAATTTTAATCAAAGTGTTGCTTTTTTTTTTTGTTACCTTGTAGTTAACCTAATCAATGTCAATCGCAGCGTTAAATTTACTTTCTGAAAACCAAAAAGTCTATCGCAACGTTATCTTTACTTTTGGAAAACCACGATGTCTTAACCTGGCCAAAACAACTACTTTCAAGCAACAGGTGAGACAGTATCGCTAGTGTTAGTTATAGTTGTAAGGTCAGGCTATCAGAGAAGACAGTATCCTAGTAAATTCTAAAAATAGTTTTTAAAAAAAATATTGTTTACAAAAAAATATACAAATTACAAATATATATTTTTTTTTACCTGTAAGTGAATTAAAGTTATTTCAGTCTAAGTAATAATATAATTTACAAATACAGCTTTTACAGTCTGTTTAATATTTTTTTTAAATAGATAATTGTTACTGTGAAATTACAAATTTATCTTGAAAACTTCCCAGAATTCAACAACTTTGGACCACGTTTTTCTTTTAATCATGCCAAGGTCCCCAGAACATTTGAGCAATGAATACCAAGGATTCGAAGCATGGCCGAAAAAAAAAAATCAAAGGAGCTTTGGTGAATTTTGAGAATCCCTGGGGTTGGAGCATTGCATGGGCAGTGTTACCTGGTAGTACGAATTGCCAACTTTAATGGCTTCAGACGGTTGTTGTTTATTTTAAGATGTTGCTGTGATTATTATGTTTTCAAATAAGGGGAGACTACGCCATCTAACAAGTACGCAGCGAAAGATGATGAATGGCCGTGCATTCTCACTGCATGCATTAACATATGTTTATTCATGAAAATAATAGTTTGTTTTTTTTTAAAAAGGAGGAATGCATTAATAATTATAATAATAATAAGCGCTCAAATAAAATGCTGGCTTCATTACAATAATAACAAAAATTTAAAAAACTTGATAAAGGATTATATTTTATTTGAGCAACTGTAACATTTTAGCAACATTTATTTAAAAAAAAAATTAAGATGTAATTTTAAGCGTGCTTTTCTCTGCGATTTGTGTGTGTGTGGGGGGGGGGGATGTGTGCTGTTGTTTTAACAAGTCAGCCAACAGAGTTGTGGAATTTCGTGTTAGAGCTTCAGTATCTGAGGCTATCATATCAGGTGCGAGGCTATTCTCTCTCTATATATATACAGTGGTACGAATTTATGGTAGTGCCTTTAATTTTGACAGCGTGATGGTGACGTTGTGCCTGCTGGCTTCATATGGGTAGTTAGGGATTAGTTAAGTGTGTTGTTTATACCATGCTTTACATGCTTCTTGGCTTCACGTGGTTAAAAGGGGACAAGTTAGGAGAGCTTCTTGGATTCACGTGGTTAGTCAGGGACAATTTAGGAGAGCTTCTTGGATTCACGTGGTTAGTCAGGGACAAGTTAGGAGAGCTTCTTGGATTCACGTGGATTAGTTAGGGACAACTTAGGAGAACGGTGCTTTATTTCACGTTTTGTGCGAATTTAAAATAAGCAAGTGAAGTTAAACATTCAAATATAATATCTACGAAATTGGGGAAAGAAAATAATTTATGCTAGGGCTAACTGCTATTTAATGATACTACAGTAAAATACCATGCCTACTGTAGAATGTAAGTAATAGCTAGTTACCCACAGTCTTAATGTGGACAGTTTAGGAAGTGATTGCTAGTTACCCACATTCCTAATGTGGACAGTTTAGGAAGTGATTGCCAGTTACCCACGGTCTTAATGGGGAAATTTTTGAAATGATTGCTAGCTACTAATACATTCTTATTGCAACAGAAATGGAGTCGATTTTAATTTTAATTTAAATCATAAGGTTGATTTGATATTTTTATTTTTTAAAAAAACGTTTTTTCTTGAAGTTAATAAAAGGCACATCAGTTTGACTTTAGACCATTGTGCTGTTGAATGTAAACGTAATTCTACCTATTAGAAAGTGAATGGTAAGACACGAAGTGATCTTACAAGTGAACGAGTTGCTAACATTTACCAAGGGAATCTAAGACTGTATTACACAAAAATGTCACACAGATTATTAGATTATTGGAACATTATTGGCAATATGTTTCTGAAATGTTCTAAATGATACAATTATGCGACTCATTTGTGTGAAGATTTTTTGTAGCTTATGGGTATAGCTTTTTCAATTATTTGGTAAATTATGAGAAGGACTTTCATCATAACTCAAGAGTAGGCCTATTAGGAGCTGGGCATTAAAACTAAACGTTAATTTAAATTTAAGATTGATAATTTCTGTAGATTAACGATTTGTATGCTCATAATCAGTTAATTGTGTAATATTTCCAACCTCCATGTCCTTTATTAGAATACTGTTACGTGACGCTCGCTTCTTTCTCTTGTCATTGCCCAGAGATGGTGCAACCATGGCTGCCGCTGTGCATAGCTCTGCTCTCCGTCGGGTATGTCGTGAGTTACGGAGGCTGCTGGTACAACCAACAGTATGTTCAAGTAAGTGGGATAAGTGGTTGGGAGATGAAGACAGGGTAGTGGTGGGGAGAAAACAACAGGTAGTAGTGGGGAGACAGCAACAAGTAGTAGTGGGGACACAAATACAGGGTAGTGGTGAGGAGACTGCAGGTAGTATTGGGGAGACAGTGACATGGTAATTGTTTTTCTCGTTATATTGATGGTACTTAAAATGAGATCAGTGAAATCTTTTAAATAGAAAAACAACAACAATTTTTTGTTGATTTTTAGTAAATGTATAACAATTTGATCAACATGAAGGTCATTCGGTAAGTTGATCAATGCATGATAATTAATGACGGACTTAAGTAATTCATGGTGCTATACAACGGACTTAAACAATGGTGTTATATGACGCACTTAATTCATGGTGCTATATGAAGCACTTAATTCATTGTGCTATATGACGCACTTAATTCATGGTGCTATATGACGCACTTAATTCATGGTGCTATATGAAGCACTTAATTCATTGTGCTATATGAAGCACTTAATTCATTGTGCTATATGACGGACTTAATTTATTGGAATTTTTTTTCCTTTTTTAATTAAAAAAAAGTGTTAAAGAAAGACTCATTGAATTTTTATACTTTAGTAATGTTAGCAGCTGTACACAATAAACATCTTATAAGCTGTTTAGTATAACATTATACATCCGAATGTATATATATATATATATATATATATATATATATATATATATATATATATATATATATATATATATATATATATATATATATATATATATATATATATATATATATATATATATATATATATATATATATATATATATATATATATATATATATATATATATATATATTTTAAGGACAGCCCTTACAAGAATTAAAATGTCATTAGAGCCATGTTCGTGGCCATCTTATGAACAACTTCCGCAATGTGTATGTCTATTTTAAACGGCATTGAGTCTTGATACATAGAGAGTCGTGTTACGTAGAGATTCCTGTTACATAGAGAGTCGCGTTACATAAAGACTCTTGTTACGTAGAGGGAGTCGTGTTACGTAGAGACTTGTGTTACGTAGAGAGTCATTTTACGTAGGTCATTTTACGTAGAGAGTCATTTTACGTAGAGAGTCATTTTACGTAGAGTCATTTTACGTAGAGAGTCATTTTACGTAGAGAGTCATTTGACGTAGAGCATGGGTCTCAAACTCAAATTATCTGGGGGCGCAGATAGAGTCTGAGTGAGACTGGGCTGCATCAAGTATTAAAAAAAAGAGCCATTACAAGTTTAATAAATTATGACTGTTACAATGAGCTCAACTTTTATTAATAACTAATAAAAACATTAAGGGTTCTCAAGAACTAGGCTTCACTTTATTCCTCCTACTCCTTGTTGCCAGAGACCTGGAAGCGCTTCTTCTTACACAGCTAAGCAACATTTAGTTGGCTTGAGTGAGGAAGCAACTGATACACTTATTATAGCTTGAGGATGCTCATCAGTAAGTTTAGCCCTAAACTTTGACTTGTTAAAGTTTATAGTGGAAAAGAGCTTTTTACACAGATAGGTATTTCCCAAAAAGGCACATGATCAGCTTGAACGAACGGGAGATCTCAGAGAAGGTGGAGGGCAATGCTCTCATAATTTGTTCATGCTTGTCTGTTTTTCACTCATCTCCCTGAACTTAGCCTTGATTGAAGCGCCAAAAAAGGGGGGGTTGGGCGGGGGTTGGGGGGGCGGCATCTTCCACTTTGAAGGAGAAAGGGTCAGCAAAAATTGGAAAAGTGGCAAAGTGCGTCTTAAAGTTTGCAAAGAATTGATAAAATTATTCCTGCAGCTTTGAAATGGCATCAGTATACTTACTACTAAGTTACTACTGAATGATTTGCCCCGAGTCCATGAGTACTTTGCATGTTGAGAAATGGCAGAGGTTTCTCTGAGAACCATAACAGTTTTGTGCAGAATGCCCTGACATTGTCATAGGCAACACTGGCAAGCTGCCCATGATATTGAATCTTATTGTTGAGTACATCCAGCTCCTGTACATTGTAAACAAGAAAAGCCAAGTCCATGAGCCATTTGGGATCACTTAGTACAGGAGCAAGCACCCCATCCTTCTCCGTGAAAGCTTTGAAGACAAAACGTGCTATTGTAGGGAGAATAAATATTGATATGTTTATTGTAGAAAAGGCCTTTTTGACTAATACTATTTTGAAAGTGATCAAGCTGACAGGCTCGGAATTTTCCTCACTCATCAACACTAGCCGCCATTTTAATAAGGATTCTTCGATACTGTATCAGATGACTACGATTTACACAATTATGGTTGTGCATTACCCCCTAATTGATTTTTAAAACTTTTCTCAAAACCACACACTGGACATGTTTTTCTCATAAAATTCTATAAAATAAAAACTTTTAGTCCCATTTTAAAACGGTGTTTACGATTATCATCAACTTACAAATATTTACAAAGATAATAAAAATCAGAATGACACTAGTCGGGGAGATTCGACTGAAAACATCGCGGAGGGTTACATTATAAATATGAGATAAGGGACAGCGCGCGGGCCGCATTAACACTAAACTTTGCTGTCAGGTATCGGGTTGCAAATTTGGTCTTGCGGGCCGCAAATGGCCCGCAGGCCGCGTGTTTGAGTCCCCTGACGTAGAGAGTCGTATTGCGTGGAGCGGTAGTCACTTGATACCATCCATTTTCTCATGTCAATTTAAAGACAGGGAGTGTGTTCTCAGAGTGTTTGGAGGGGGTCAGGGTTTAACACACACATAGTTCTCAAAAGAAGTAAAAGAGTCCCGTAAACTGATGTCGAATGGCAGCATTTATTTAAACAGCTGTTTATGGTGTGCTGCAAGTCATAGCTTTATGTCAGAACATAACGTTCTATATAGAAAACAGATGATTTCACTTCATATAGCTTACTTATATTATTCATGACATCAAAGTATTCTAACGATTTCATGATTTTGTCTTTGGACATCTAACATTCAGCCAATGGATCAAAGTGGTCGGTTAAGAATTTTGTTGTTGTTGTAAATTTAAGAAATGAAGGGTTGATGTATGTATCAGGAGCCCATGTAGGGAAGGGTGGCTCATGTAGGGAAGGATGGCCCATATAGAGAAGGATGGCCCATGTAGGGAAGGATGGCACATGTAAGGAAGGATTGCACATGTAGGGAAGGGTGGCTCATGTAGGGAAGGATGGCCGATGTAGGGAAGGACGGCACATGTAAGGAAGGATGACCCATGTAAGGAAGGATTGCACATGTAGGGAATGATGGCACATGTAGTGAAGGATGGCACATGTAGGGAAGGACGGCCCATGTAGGGAAGGACGACCCCTGTAGAGAAGGATGACCCATCTTACCCACACCGATATTCCATGGCCTGCTAATCTTTCCACATTTAAATCCCTCTGACAACCCATCCCACCAACAACCCACGCAACCCTTTGGCATTCCAAATTTTCCAAGTGTCTTTATGTTCTTATGATGTTCCATCAGATGTATTGTTAAAGAAAAAAAACAAACAAAAACTGTCTATTTCAGTTGGGCCCATTCCTACCTGAGCCCTGTCTCTCCTGTTTCTGCTTCGACACGGGCTCAACCGACTGTTTCATCATCCAGTGCCCGAAATGTCTCTTCTACTACTACAAGCCCGGGGATTGCTGCGCCTCATGTGAGCCCCCGCCACCACCAGCGCAAGCACCCTCGCGGAAAAATGCAGTGAGTATTTACAGATCATGTTTAAAGTTAACAGGCGCTGCACTCTAACTTTTAACTTAACAATGTAACAGAGACACGCAGTGAGTAGAAATAATCTAATGACGAGCAATGATCAGGGATTCTGAATCGGTTGCTAATAGACCCCTGTGTTGCATCGAATATTTATTTTAAAAAAAAATTCCTAGAGAGATTTGAAAAATGAATTATTAAAAGCCTTTTTATCAGTTTGGAAATGATCAAAGGGCTCAGTGGTCTTACAAAGATTCAGAGCCCCTGGTACAGGTTAACATGTTGACTAGATTTCTACTAAACCATTTAATAAGGGTATTGTAACTTTGACAGTAATATCTTAACATTTAAAAAAACTTAAGTTTCTATAATAAGTATGTCTTTAGATTTTGTTTAAACAGCGTCTTGCTTTACGGTAATTTGTTGTTTTTTTTCCTTTGAATTTGTTTGTTTTTTTTTTTTTTTTTTTGTTATTTTTTTTTTAGTTATGGCATTGTGAAGATTTGGTAGGGATACTTTGATTTGCTTTGCGCTTTGTTAATTTCATGTTTCGCAACCTGTTCAACTGGCATTTTATGTTTACCTCATGGCATTAAATCTACCAAATAATTCCATTTTAGCGCGATCGAGCGGGACGCTTATATAACTATTGTAAAATATTAATTCAACAGGTTGAGAAGCGTAGTTCTAATACTGATATTTTTTAACACACTTACAAATATTGCTATTATTTGTTTCATTGCTTTGTGTGCGTTTGTATTGCAATGACTACCAGTAAGTAGCATCATTTAAAATTCGATTGAAACCAAGTCTTTCATTCAGGTCAGAATGTTGGGCAGTATTAGTGCAGAGCGATGGGTACAGTGTTTCTCTCAGGCATCTCTCCGGGTGTGTGTGTGTGTGGGGGGGGGGGCGGACGACTGCCCCCTCTGAGAAAGTCAATCGCCCCCCACCCCGGGAGAAAAATATAATAATATACAATTACAGAATTGTCACGTTTAAACTCTAAATAAAATTTGTAAAGCATTGGAACAAATCAAATAAAACTACGCTAAATATAAATTTGATGACCTTAACATTGAAGGAAATTCTAGATACAGCATTCGATTCTAAATAGTGTAGTGTTCCTACCTAAAAAATAGTCAGCTCCAGATTACTAGCCGCAGCTCTACATTGGGGTGGGTGGGGGGGGGGGTAATGTGCACCCCGGAGAAAAAAAAAGTGTTCACATTTAAAGTGAAAATATAATTTTAAAAACAAAGAACGTGTACTAGTTTTGTAAAAAAGGTTAAGAATTGTACCTCTCCTGAGGTATAAGAAAATATTGAAGACCAATATAAATTATGTAAGAAAATATTTGGAGATTTACTATAAATTCATGGGGCAAAAAATCATTTTCCCTCAAGTAGTCTAGAACTGATTTCTTTCGTTGCATTTCATAACACAAACATATTTAAAACTAATTTATTGTTACTAAAAGCAATAAAAGAAGGTGCTAAAACTCTGACTGAAATGGTTTTAAAAGGTTTTATTTTTGTAACATATTGAAAGGAAGGTTCCCATAATACTGCATGTTACTGGTTGCATGTGAAGAGCAGTTTTAGTCCCAGTGCTACCTCTAACCCATTGCGGTTCTTTCTTGGATTGTTTCCTCTCTCCACAGCACTGGGAGCGAGAGGAGCCCAACGAAGGCGGCATTTAACACTTAACAGAAAACTGGTCCCCGTCAATGATGGCGGCGCTGGGAGCTGTCATTGTTAGAAAATTGCATAACCTAATACCTTAATTGTGCCAAATATAACGTAGTTAATATAATTAACCTGAAAAGTGTTGAGCAAATGTAGAAAGGAGATGGATTTGTAGTTTTAAATTAATTTTCAGTGAACGGATTTTAAATGTAAATATTGTTCACATGTTTTGTACACGCTATACTGTTTTTGTTTGTTTTTATTTCTGCTCTATCACCTCTTACAGTACAGAGACACGGACCCAGGAGAGATACACGAAACATAAGCGGATGTCGGATTAACATAAATCGGATAGACAACGTTTTTTCTTGGAAATGGAATGCAAAACATAAGATCCAGAAAAAAATATTTGTTTGCTGGGCAATTTTTTTTTTTTTTTTTAAATTAAAGCTTTTTCAAGACTGGTCATTAAAAATATATGAACGATGCTCAAACATAATTTGTTACCGTTTTTTTACTTTGTCATATTGATCTTGAGCTTTGTTGATTTATTTTCGGGTTGGCTGTATAGGAAATGTTATAAAAATTAACTTGACCTATGAAACAAGGATACCAACCAAAGCTCCGTGTGCAGACATCCCTAAGGGTATTGACGTCGTATATAAGGTGAAATGAAACACAGGGATTCTGTTGTATGCTAGGTTAGGAACGTGTCTCTCTAACTGTGAAATCTACTATGGACTTAAATTGTTGCGCATGTAACAAATTGCGCCTTTGCTATACTCATAAAATCCACACACCCATTCAGTGACGCAGTTTTACTAAAATATGATTGGCGCTAAATCACACAATTTCGACTCACCATTCCCCACGCCCACCTACTAACTATGTGATAACTCTAATCTAACGTTCAACCCTCCGTGTAGCACCCACGCAATGAACTCTACTTTCTTAAAATGGTGCAAAACGTATAAATCAAGAATAGTATTGCATTAAACAGCTAATCTTTTGTTGAAAAAAATTAGTTCCAATATTTTTTGACAGGGTAGACTTTGTATTGATATGAATCGCGCTTTCTTTATTTGCGCTTCGCGTGATTCTAAACTTGGACTTTTAGATAGACACTACCAACCCGACCACGCTACATTTTTAGTATTGAATTTATGTTTTGTCCTTAACGTAGAACCGTTTTCAAATGGTTGAGAGCTTCACAAGTAAAAATCGTTACTTTGTAGTAGACTAAAAATATTTGAGCTATCCAGAAAATATATAATGCTTAAGCATAGAATAGTTGCATTCAATTAGCTAGATCATCTTAAAATACAAACATCATTTAGAGGAATTTCGCAAACTACGTTCTGCTCGGGGGGAGGAATTTGTGAGACTTTGTAACAGGAAGGAGTGGGGGTAAAAAAATTTGTGAAGTCACAATTTCTAAACCTTTTTTTTTTAAAATCTAAATTTCTAATTAAAGAAAAATTACTTTATTCAATCAATTTAAAAAAAAAATAATAATAATAATTTTAGGGCGAAATTGCCTCAGATATTTTAAGTACCATGAAACTTGCGCAAATTTTCTGCGCATATCGAAAAATAACGCAAACACTGTTGTGGTCATTTTACATTCGGCTCGGGGATGACTTCTTTGTTTTGTTTTTCGCCTCACAGTTTTCTCATAATACTACATCTTACCCATTATGGGAAACTTTTAAAGAATAAAATCAAATCTTAGTTTAGTTATAAAATTTGTATGTATGTTTTGAATTTTTTTAGGTGTGACATGACACTAAAAGGGGGGGGGAGGGGGGGGGATAAAGAATTTTTTACACTTTGTGACAGGGGAGAAAGTGTCTGAAAAGGTATTTTTTTTGTGTGATGTAATTTGCATTTTTTTAGGTGTGACATGACACTAAAAGGGGGGGGGGAGGGGGGGGGATAAAGAATTTTTTACACTTTGTGACAGGGGAGAAAGTGTCTGAAAAGGTATTTTTTTTGTGTGATGTAATTTGCGAAAGACCCCTTACATAATATCACAAATAATAATGATTTGACTATTTATAAATGAATCGTCCCCCCCCCCTTTTTTTTTAGTACGTTGTCCCAACGTAATAAATACACACTAAAAATCGAGAAGATGAGCTAAATAAAAGATTAATCACGTTAAAATGTGCAAAAAAGGCGTTTATTTTTGCAAAAGTTTAAATTGAGGGAGTTAAGCCATAAAAACTTTTTAAAGAGTGGTTGAACTGTATTACCTTTCGTGAATGTTCAAAACTTATTTTTTATTATTATTTTAAAACAACAAAAACAACAAAAATAAAACAAAACAAAAAAAATTTTTTTTTTTTTTTAAATAAATTTTTGTTCAATATTTTTAATTTGACTTTTCACGAATTCAATGTTTTGATGGTAAAATTGCGTCTTGTTACATTTAAATCAAAATTTAAAAAAAAAAATTAAAATATTTTTTTATACAATAATTAAAAAATGAAAAAAAAACAAAAAAACTACTTCCTAATATGATTCTAAAAGGCGCTTTAAATAAAAAAAACATTTAGAATTTGAGTTATATGACACCTTTCATTATCATTATAGGATGGCTATTCACGCGAAATGTGGTTGCCGACCACCGTATATAGCTAATAGTACATTTCAAAATAAAAGACATACATTTTAATTTTAATAAATAATTTAAACAAATCTAAATGGTTTGTGTCATGGCAGATATAGACAGTGACAAAATATCAAGTATTATGGTTTTGAGACAAATTGTGATGGTAAAGTTATATGGGATTTTTGCATGCTGTATGAAACAAAATGCTTACTTGATATAAAATAAAAAGTTGGATTTAGAGCTGGATTTTTTTTGGGTAAACAAAATGTTGGTATAAATTGATTAATTGCATTTCATAGAATTAAATCATCCATAAAACACAACAATCTAAATACTAGTGTCACATATTGTAAAATTATGTCAAAATGTATCAAGATAACCTTGAGCCTTAACCATTGACTACAGAATATATATACACTTCCACACTATTTCCATTTTTGAAAACAACTTTCTACTAAGATGAAAAATCTCTCACATTTAGATTCGCTAAATATACAATCCACTATCAAAAACAGCAAAAACTGTAAAGTAGATAAAGTACGGGTTAAAAATAAACTTCTTCTTCTTCTAAATCTTAAGGGCCCACAATCAATTTATTGATCATTTTGGCTCCTATGCATGTAGATGGGATTTGCAATGTTTCTGTTCCTGGTGTTGTGAGGAAATTTCACTGATTTCTAGTGCCACTTTGTGAGGGAATCATGCACTAGGGGATTGAAGGCTTGAGGCAATAGACACAAATGTGTCTAGTGTTGTCGCCTCAACCGTTCCTTTTGAAAGATTTTCCAGTCCCTGATTGTCTTGGGCAGAAATGAGCAGCTCCTATACTGGCTTCTTGCTGGTATGAGCCTGAATTGCCTGTCATGGCCACGTCGCTGTCTATGGGGGGAGAGGGACTAGTTACTGTTTAATACTGGAACAGTGGACCAGCCCATTATTTATCTTGTACATCATGGAGAGCCTGGATTGTCATATTGACCTGGCGCTTATCTGTCCACTGGCAGGCAACAAGTAATCTCTTTTGCTGCATTATGTAGTCACCTTTTTTTTGTTTTGATTTTCACAATTATTATCGGATAAAAGATATTTACTTAAGAATTGTTAAATTAAAATGATAATTGTATTGACAGTATTTGGATTTAAAAACATCCTTCCATGCATCCTTTCATATTAATGTACACTAATGCTAGACACCCATTCTTATCTATTGGCATTCAGAAAAATAAATAGGGCTATTTAAATTTAATGTTAAATATTATTATTTTTTTTATTATGAACATATTTGACAAGGCTATCAATAATGGGCCTGAGCAAGTTAACATTAGAATATATTCATTCTCTTCTCTTTATAACAGTCACATAAAACATTTATACAAATAAAATTAGCGACACTTGGCGTCACATCAAAATGCAGTAGTCCAACAAACAAGATGGCTGTAGGACTAATTACAAGCCACAATAATCATCACCTGTTTGCAATTGATCAATATTATGGGAAAAATTTAGTACCATTTTTAATGATCGAGATGTTCACAAACTTTAGGGTTGCAAATAAACGTAGAAATTCAAAGACATTTTCTTTTTTATTTAAAAAAAAGATACTTTGGATGTATTTAATAAATGGCTATAGTATAAGTATTCCTTCTGGCATGTGTGTTAAATTTTTGTAAAAATATCCATCAGCTGTATAGCAGATAAAAAATAGTTTAATAAGTAAATAGTGCCAATAAGCAAAAGCACAGACATACCTACAACCATTTTTTCCTAAGACAGAAAGCCATATTGGGCTTTCCGAATATTTGGCATGCCTTAAAAGAAAACACAATTATGTTTGGAATGCTTATGGGTAAATTTGTTTACAAAAAACAGTTACACGAAACAATTGCAAGCAGACAGCTGCCTTTATGATGAATATAGTCAAAATACATCAGCAGAAAAACAAATAAAGCCAACATTTCACAGATATAAATAAGTACAAATGTAGAAAACTCACAACATTTTTTTAATACAGGTGATTTTCCGTTAGAACTTAACTAGTTTTCAGTAGACAAATGTAAGTTTATATATAAATTAGTATATTTATAACAGAATTAGTTTTTTTATTATATAATTAAAATAAATAATCCTCAATTTCCTTGAAAATTAACATTAATTACTTATATTGTCTAAAACATTTAAACAAAAAAAGACATTTATAATGAACATTATGCATATACATGATTGTTATCACAGGTTTTTATCCTAAATTCTACAGTCCATGAAACTTAAAACTATACCTAGAGCAAAAAGACATAATTCAAAAAAAATTATTTTGCAGCATCTTCTTGAAAATCGAATGGGAAATTTGAACTCATTGCATTTTAATAAATTTTCTATGATAAGAAAAAAACAACTAATTTTTAATGCAAGCAAAATTGCTACTTGTCTTTTATACACATTATGATGATGTAAAACTGCTTTGGCTGTGGAGATCAGATACATAAACAAATATTGTACAAATCATGGCATACAACACTATCTGGGACATTTGGTTAGTTTTCTGAGGATTATAACCTTCTTCTGCAGTAACTATTGCAACACGACTATACAGAGAACATAAGAGAGACTAACATTGGGGAACATATTAATAAACTAAGCTAATAGCATTCAGCAGTAACACAAAGTCAAGTATAAGCAGGTTCAGTGGCACATCAAGCAGTGGTTTCACTGGATCTGAAATCATAGAACAATTTGATAATGTATAGTGTGGGACAACAAGCAACATTCACTTTAAATGATCAGGAAATTTAACATGTGTAGGATTCAAACAATGGAAAAAATTAATTTGTCAGCGTTTGCTAAATG